ACGGAAGTAGGAATGCCCAACCTTCCTTCCGAGGAGTGGCTGGTGGGTTTGAACCGCCAGCCTTCTGGTTAGCAGTAAAATGACCACCAGGAGGGGAACCCCAGAAAGAGAAAGATTATAACACATGGAAACAATTAGTCCAAAGGACTAATGGACCATGTGAACCCCAGCTGACATGACCCTGAGCCCAGAAGAACTATGTGGTATCCAGCTACTATTGCTGATCACTCTGAAAGGGATCACAATAGGAGATCCTGGATAGAGTGAGGGGAAATGTGGAACCAAGCTCAAAATCGTAAGACCAGGCTTACTGGTCTGATAGAGACTGGTGGAACCCCTGAGACTATGGCCTTTTGTCATCCTTTAAGCCTGGAACTGAACTCACCCCTGTGGCTCAATTTTCAGCCAGGTTATAGGAGAGGCCTATGAGGTGAAAAATAACACCAGGGAGGTACCACTCATGAGAATAATCAACAATATGAGATCAAAAGGGCAGCATTTGCCCAGGGATAAAGCTAAGAAGGAGGACTGGATAGGAAAGGATGAATGGAAATGATAAGCACAGGGAGGAAGTGGAGAGAGTGCTGTAAAATTGTGGGGATTGCAATCAACGTCACGAAACAAAATGTGTACAAATTGCTGAGTGGAAAACCAATTTGCTCTGTAAACTTTCACTCAAATAAGCAATAAAAATTAAAAAAAAAAAGTATCTGTGGGCAGAAACATGATATTGACATATCAGCATGAAGAATGGAAAACTAAAATTCCCCGATCATTTCCAAGAAATTCACCATGTGATTTCTAGATAGATGTTTTAAAATTGCTCCTTTACAAGGTCCTTAAGATGGTGTGTTTCACTTTTAAGGGCAGGGCTGCACTGCTGGGAGATTCTCTGGTGACAGAAGGCAGCCACAGTGACACAATGCACTGGAGTTGATGTGTGGCGTTTTGTTGGTTGGTCTCTGTTTACTTATTCGTAATCACGGGTGCATTCTGCTGTGTGATACTGTCAAGTCGTGTCCCTCATTATACCGCCCATTTGAGAAGAACAAGGACAATGCTGATTTCTGGACCTTCTGGGTTTTAGGAAAATATGTATTGTGTGTCAGGGTGACAGAGAGGGACAGCACTGGCCCCACGTGTGTCAGATCCCAGGGTCTGCCATGTGCTTTGCAAGCTGCAAAGTATTTCCTCTAAAGGGGGCTCATCCCACACCACTGTTCCCTGCATTTGTCCTTAAAACCTAGACAAAGCCGCCTTAAAAATTCATTGAGGAAGCAGCCAGTTCACATCTTGTCCTTGTGCCCTGTGTCATGAACATGTATTCTTTCAAGGAAAAAAGAAAAGAAAAAGAAAAGAAAGAAGGGGGAGAGAAAGGGAGGGGGGAAAAAAAAAAAGATTGCCATCCAGTGGAGGAAAACGTAATTCCCGGCTCCATTCAGGAAAAATGCAAACTGAAATATGCTTAACTCTTTGAACTTGGCCGAGGATTTCATCACCATCTGGGTTTTTTTCCTGGCGTCCGGAGCGGGTGCCGTGTGCCTTTAAGGAAAGAGGTGGCTCCCCAAACTTCGCTCTAGTTGTGGCTCTCCGTTTCTTGGTTGGGCAGGAAAGCGTTAATTTCTTATTTGTACACTTTTTTTCCCCCGACTTCCTTCCTATTCACTTCATTAAACCTAGAGGCAGTTCGGCATGGGAGCCGTCTGTACGTTGAATTAGGGCTGCACTTTTGCGCTACACGTCACCAATCGGAAACTGGGGGTTTGCGTCTGTGATTTATTTCTTTATTGTGCTGGTAAAAGGTTTGGAAGGGAATTCTTTCTGGGGGTAGGACTTTAGCGTTGTGTAGCAAGTTTTTGGTTTGTTTTTTTTTTTTTTAAATGTTGTGCCCCTTCGCCCTTAGTACTGAGTTGAGTCAGTGAGCCAGTTGAATTTTTTTTTCTTCCCAAAAAGCAGTTTAAAACCTCCATGAATAATTTTACTTACAGGCAGGAGTAATGGTACCCACTCTTTAAGTAAGAAAAGCATTGGGCAATATTTGGATCGATTTCCATTAGAAAAAGACCCTTAGAAATCCCAGGGCAAGGAGGGCTGCATATGGATGGGTTTGGGGTCTTGGGGGAGGAGGAAAGTCAAATGTTTTGTGGCTCTGTGCATTCCTGCATAAAACCTTAACGTTAGGGGAAGAATGGGCAGGACTTTGCGTGTTGTTTTCCTAGTCCTTCCAAAACCTAAATTTATTAAGAACATGCACGTACTAGCCATTGTAACAAAAATTATTTCCCCAGCTCTGTTTGCAATTTTGTTCTCGCTTCTTAGCTACTACCAGATTTGGAGATTGAGAAATCCAGATATCAAAAGCTCATGCTTTGTTCCCTTTTTATAAAATTAAGGGCAGGGGGGAAGGATGAGAGTAGAAATACCCCTTTTCACAAAGCCCCCTCATCATTTCTCGCACTGAAAAAGAACAACAATGAAAATTTTTACAGCATGAAACTGAAAGTGAAGTGTCACAGTTGTTCGGGATTTTCCTTAAAGAGAAAGAATAGCATATTGAGTTAAAATAGCTGAATCTTCTCAGTCCATGGCTTTTACTTACATGTACAGAATGGGAAAAAAAATATTTGTCTTCTATTTTAAAAATCATTTTTGACTGCTCCCAGACCATGCAGTCTGTGTTTCAAAAGACACTAAAATGAGGTTTAAAATACAAAAAAAAGCATACCTTGTTTTAATTTTTTTAAAATAAATTTAAATATTAATTGGTATTCTTATTAGCTTAATTATTTAAATGAGAGCCAGACTCAGAAACCACCTGAGCTAAAAAAAAAAGAAAAGAAAATCTCTTAAATCTGCTGCCTGGAATAATAAGGGGGAAAAAATATGATAAGTACTTGTCAATATTAAAACAGGCTGGAGGAGGAAGGCTTTGGGCCTTACTGTAGTAGGTAGAATGAAACAGCAGATTTGAGTATCCACAATCCTTTCAGTATTAAATTTTCAGTAAAATAAAATTACTTGTATATGAAAACATAGCCTTTCCCCAGCTCTCTTTTTTTTCCTGATCAGCTGATGAAGAGACTAGCAGCTCGCTGCTTTGCTGGCTTGTTAATTTTATCCCCACTAACTGTGATTTCCGATAGCAGCCGGTCTGCTGATAGTGGTAAGGTAAATATCCTTTTTCGTTGCCGTCTTGAAGATTCAGTAGAAGTACATCTCAGGCATGTGTAGGTGTGTAACACGTCAAAAGTCGGTGCTCGCCGGGTATCTGTGTGCAGCCGGGTGCTCGAGGAGAGCAAGACCATTAACTGTTGACAGTCTTGCATGCTGTATTTATTATTAGCATGTTCAGCCTCCGAGATTGCCTCCTCTCCATCTTCGCTGAGCTGCAGTGGGTTTAGCTGGATAGAGGGTGTCCTGCTTTTAGGCAAATGAATATTAATGAAATAATGTGGGAATCTTTTTTTTTTTTTTTTTTTTGCATTTTCTTTCTTTTTTTTTTTTCCTCCTAACTCCTCAAATCTCTCTCCTCCTCCTTAGTGGTTCTCTGAACACTGGGATGCTGATGGAAATTGTCTTTTGATTATTAAGGCCTAGGCGCAGGCTGTCCCCGAGGACGCTGGCAGTGTTCATGTTGCTTTTCTGGATTTGCACGTTGGAGGATGCATAGAATCATCTTTTTTAAAAAAACCCACTGGCATTTTTAACACGCCAGGTTCGTTTGTGTTCTGCACCAGGATTTCTTCACCAACCCTTTCTTTTTACAGGAGGCTTTGTACACAAGTGAAAGACATTATGTCTGAGCTGTAATCACTCTTTATATTGATTGTTATACTCACATGATCATAAATATTAGCCATGTTTGGTGCTGTGGAGAAATGAAGGTAATTGCCTTATGATTAGAGCGCTTCCCGCTCCGAGAATGGATTGATTAGCATTTGCATACTGGAGGCAATATTGAGAGGCAGGCGGAGCAAATAACAACATCAGTTATTTGGTGGGGGTTTGAAAAAGCCATCTTACAATGTAATTTAGAGATCTTTTTAAAAAATTTCTTTTCCATGGTGAAATATTATTTTATTTGTATTTTTGGCATTTTTCCCCTTTCTTTTTCCTTAAGTTTTGAGATGTACCAAGGGGGGAAAAGAAAGTTTCAACTTCTGGGTCTGTCACATGGACCTTGTAGGCATTTCTGAACAGGCGCCTTCTCTACCTGGCTGTTTTTATAGCTATTTTATTATCTCTCTGCATTAGTGCTGCTGGCTCTGGTTTAAAGCAAGCATTTGCAGGTAATTGGGGAGAAAAAAAAAAGTGTGTGTTATTTGTGTGTGTGTTCTTTAAGTGCAGATTCAAGTGCGTTTACCAAGGGATGTGGCTTTGTATTTCCCTGGGTCCTTTTTTGTTGTTGTTTTGTTTCCTAATTGCTATGTTAGAACGAAATCTAGATGGCATTATGATTTATGTTGTGGATCATAAATAAATTGATGTAAAAGCGCAGAAGAAAAGGTTGAAGCTTGTATGATTATAAGGATCTGTTCTTAGGGAAATTTTGTTTCTTCGCCCACTCCACCACCTTTTTTATTATTATTATTATTATTATTATTATTTACCTTTTTTCCCACCCCTATATTAATGAGACAATTAAGATCTTTTTGTTGAGCTACAGTTCCATTTGGATTTGGTTATCTTCAAACACTTGAATGTATAGATCTTTTCATATTTGTCGTATTCTTCCTTACTGTTACTGTCTCAGGCCCTCAAGGTATTTTGCTCATGAAATAGAGTTGGGTTAAAGATGCATTTACCCAATATGGTGGCCTCGTTTTCTTCTTACTCCACTGATTATTGTTAAGTTTTCATTTTGAGGTTTTTATGTTTCGATATATTTTTTTCCAATTGGTTTGTTTCATTTTATCCAAATGATTCACACTGTATTTTTTTGTCTTCGTTATTTATTATTTATTGTCTTGACATTTTTCCCGCTTGTTTCCAATGAACAGGCCATTGAAGACGGCAATCTGGAAGAAATGGAAGAGGAAGTACGGCTTAAGAAGCGAAAAAGACGAAGAAATGTGGATAAAGATCCTGCAAAAGAAGATGTGGAAAAAGCTAAGAAGAGGAGAGGCCGCCCTCCGGCTGAGAAACTCTCCCCTAACCCCCCCAAACTAACAAAGCAGATGAACGCAATCATAGATACTGTGATCAACTACAAAGATAGGTGAGTGTTTCATTCATTCTCCTTGATTATTTCTTACCTTTGTAAGCGATAGTACCCAAAGAGCAAGATTTATGAAGCTGGGCTTTAGGGTTCTTCCTACTTGTGACTCATGAGTCTCTGCAAAGGTGTAAGTGTCGTTGTACCATATTGAAAATGGTCTCCACTGCTATTGTGTGTAATGGTCCATCAAATATTGTCTAGTATATTTGTAAATAGGGGCTTAGCTTACACTATAAAGAAAAAGAAAAATTCTAAACCAGAGAAAAATTGTTAAGGACCTTTGAAATACCGTCATTTATATGGAAAGAACTAGGACCAAGTACTTTTTTTTTTTTTTTTGAGTTGTTTGAGAAACATCTTAGTATAATTGGTAAGTATTTTCACGTTAAGGCTCTGTTTAAAACCAAACAGATGCTTCATTGAGAACACTATTACCTATTTCTTCCCAAAACATTTGAATTACCGAGCACTATCTGAGCCACCTTCTCCCTAATAACACTACATAGCTTGACATGTCAGCAGATTTACCTTTTTCTCATTGAGCCTCAGTGGCACAGTGATTAAGTGCTTGCCTGCTAACCAAAAAGTTGGCAGTTTGAGTCCACCTAGTGGCTCCAAGGAAAAAATACCTGGAGATCTACTCCTATAAATACTGTAGCCTGGGAAGCCCTAGGGGACATTTCTACTTTGTTGCATGGGGTCTCCATGAGTTGAAATTGACCCAATGACACTTAACATCAACCTCCTTTTTCTCATGGGCCATTTGGATGTGAACTTTGAGGAGGCTGTGCTGGGCATGCTCCTGAAACCATTTTAAACAATGGACAATGATTCGAAAACCAGAGCAAAGGCATCTAGGGTGTGTTGGCCAGGCCTGTGCAGTAGAGAAGACCAACTACATTTTGGTTAGTTGATTTAGTTTCCGCTATTGTCACATGAGCTCTGGTAGCATAGTGGCTAAAAGCACTTGACTGCTAACCAGAAGGCTGGCGGTTCAAACCCACCAGCCACTCCTCGGAAGGAAGGTTGGGCAATCCTACTTCCGTAGTGATACTGCCTCGGAAACCCAAGGAGGGGTCGCTATGAGTCGGGGCCGACTCGACGGCACATAACAACAACAACAACATATTGTCACGTGATGAAGTTTTAACTTGAAGATCACAATCTGTTTCATTTGAAAACATTGATGGGGAAACCTGTTGTAGCATTTTATTTCTCGAAAGTGTATAGTGGCATTGATAAGCTTCTGATCACTAAGAATGTTTGAGCTAGTTAGTGTTGCTCTTCATACCCTCAAGTTTTTGACATAGATAAGTTGCAACTTTAGTTTTTCATTGTAGGTTTAGTATGGGGAAGAAAACCTCATTCTAAAGATTAAATAGCATAAACACAGTAAACTTTCCACCATGAGATTTTCTTGTTGAGAATCGTTGTATTACCTGTAAGGAGTTTGCAGAGAAGGTAAAAGGGGGAGGACAGGGTAGGAAGAGTTGTGTGTGGACTGGTCACAATTGCTTGCCCCTCTTGACCAACCAGATCTCTTTCCCCTTTTTATAAAGTGTCTCACCTTTAAGAATTCCAAAGGGTCCTCCAGGGCAGCCCCAGATCCTGAGTTTGGATCCACTGTCTGTTGGCAGTTGACACAGGGCTGATGGCAGTCTGAGAAGGAAAAATCAACCACAAATCCCTTCTCTGCCCAGAGTAAACGTGAAGACTTCTATGTAAACCAGGAATCAGTAACTCTCTGCCTCACGTGTCCTTTCACCCCAGCTCTCTGGGCAGCAGGAACAGTTTCCAGGAAGTTCTGTAGCTTATGCAATTACACCTTATTTTGTCAGAAAAATATTAGTACAGAAAATCACTCTGCATGTACCTCTACCGTTGGTGCTTTGATCTCAGGAGAGCTAAATGGCTGTTTGTAGGACCAGGTGTGCCCTGATATTTGACAGGCGTTTTGCTCATTAACTCTGAGAAAGGCCCAGAAAGTCTGTGGGATTTAAAAGCCAGAACCATTAATCCAGGCTGATGGCCATTCCTTCCTGATGTAAAGGGGACACCAACTGGTGGACCACATACTCTCCACAGAATGTTTTTATTTGGGGCCATGTTGCTTAAAATAAGAAGAGCGAACACATGGAACTGGAGAGATTTCTGGTAAAACTCCAATTATTTTTAAATTTTTATTAAAAAAATCTGGCAGTGGCTGTCTGTCTACCTTTCTCTCAGGTAATAATCAGTTGGGGCATAGAGGTGGCCACCCTGATTCTATGGGGTATCATGCTCTTGATTGTCACAACCCCATCACTCTCGATCATTTCTCCAATGTGGGGTGCCTGTTGCCATTTATCATCAGGCTTTTTCTACACCTGGCCCACGACATTCATCTGTATTACCTGTTGGCTCCATAGGCTTTTGAATTTGTGACTTCCTACTAGGCATGGCTACAATCTGGCCTATTTCCTAGAAACTGTTCAAAATACGGAGAAGTGTGAGGTTATATCTGAAGCCTTAACTGCCCATAACGTAAGAAACACTGGTGATATGATGGTGAAGCACTCAACTGCTAACCGAACAGTCAGTGGCTTAAACCCACTCGGTGGCTCCATGGGATAAAAGACCTGGTGATCTGTTCCCATAAAGATTACAGCTCAAGAAACCCTACGGGGCAGTTCTACTCTGTCCTATAGGGTTGTTATGAGTCGGAATCAACTTGGCAACAGCAACACAGCCATAGCGTGGTGATTTAGAACTCCTTTCTTGAGTGTAATTGCCTGCATTTGAATCTGGACTTCAGCATTCACCAAGCTGTGTGACAACTGGGCTATATAGCTGACCTCCCTGAGCCTCAGTTTCCCCATCCACAAAATGGGGATAATTCCTATACTTGCTTCTAAGGTCATTATAAGGGTTCATTGAATTAATACAACCCAAGTTCATAGAAGAGTTAAATTAGTAGTAGTCAATCTTTCAGACTCTAAGTAGCTAATCAGGTGAGTGAGTGGATTACTGAGCACCAGAAGGATACTTGCTCTTACTGGTTTCTACCTTTTTCTTTCCAAAACCAGAAAATGCTCTTTGACCTGGATATGTTCTTGAGCGTGTCTTCAGCTGTACCATAGGGAAAAAAGACATAAGTATTTGAGTATGCAGACATTGAGTAAGCTGTGCACCACCAACCCTTTTCCTGATTTTATTTTATTTTTCCTTGAAAAGTACTCTCTGGTGGCCCATCCCTTAGTTCCCACAGTCAGGTACCTTCTGGAGAAGGGCTCAATCCCCCCCACCCCCCATCCGTGTTTCATGTGTGTTTAGTTCATGTTAGTAATCCTCAGGAAAAAGAACTTGCTCTATTTATGTTTTGTATTTCTCTTACCAACTTGGAGCACAAGTAGGAGGCTCTCAAATTAGGAAGGCCTTAATTGGCTACAATGTCATATTTTTGGTTGGTTATAGAAAAACTGCTAGTGGGAAATGTACATCTCCCTGTGTTGAGATTTTTTGCACCATTTAAGACAGTTGCTAATTTAGTGACTCCACCTACCTGTAAAAGAGCTACCACCTGTGCTATCCCCCTCCTAGTGATGGTGGGCCCTGACAGGTAGCTTTGCAGCAGATTAAATAAGAACTGCTGTCTATATTTAACTGGTATATAAGAAGTAATTAGCTGTCACGAGACAGTTTTTCCTTTTTCTTTTTTTCCTAAAGTTCTTGCAGGATTTGGGGGCAGGTGTAGCTGTATTTTGATGCAGAGCTAGGATCATTTCAGGGTCTGTGGATTGCTTTTGTGCTCAGAGCCAGGTCTGTTTTCTAAAAGGAGGATACTTTTAAAAACGTGACCCTAAAGAGCTAGTAATTTTGTGTGAGTCATAAATGTACAATCCTCTTGTGGTCGTTGCTATGAGAGGTAGTATTGTCCTGTCCTGTTGCTACTTGTTTCCACCATTTTATTTCCTCAAATAGGAGACTTTATGAGTAGTATTAGAAGACTTTGTTTTGACTTATTAAGCATGCTTTGTTTTTTGTTTGTTTAGAGGGCTTTTAAAATCCTGTTCTCAGTTTGTGTAATATTTCACCTAAAGCTCTCTATCGTTCTTTAACATGGCGTGTTAGGTTTTTGAGAAGAGAGTCACCCTAGTTTACATTTGTGCCCCAGAGTTTAAAATGAGGATGAGACACAGGATAAGATGGTCAAGAGCAGGGTCAGGCAAGACTATTCCAAGTCTAGACAAAGGTTCCTGGTTATTTGAATAAATGAGAGATTCCCAAAGAGATTTTGACGTTAGAACGGACTTTAGCTATGCCTGCTCCAACTTCCAGGCATCCCTGGGAGGTGTACATGAATGGCTGTGCACTTTGCTGCTAACCAAAAGGTTGGAAGTATGAGTCCACCCAGAGGTGCCTCAGAAAGATCTGATGATCTGGTTCTGAAAACTCAGCCACTGAAAACCCTGTTGTTCTGGTTACCTAGTACTGCCCTGACAGGAGTATACCACAAGTGGGATGGCTTAAACAAACAGGAGTGTGTTCTCTTAGTTTGGAGGCTTTAAGTCTGAGTACAAAGTGCCAAGCTCTAGGGGCTGGGTGAAAGCCCCTCAGCCTTGGGCTTCAGCTCTGCCTCCAGCTCCCAGCCCATTGGAGCTGGAGGCTTTTCTTCAGTCAGACAGCTGCTGGCTGCTGAGGCTGCCAAGCCCAAGGTTGACAAATAAAAAAGGCACAGTCTAGATATTACCAAACCACATGGCAGGCCATTAATTTAAGTCCTTAAGTGAGTCCCAAGGTTGGCAGAGCATGGCAGGCTGCTGAACAATGACACAGCTACATGTAGGGTCCAAACGTGCCATAAGCTAGAGACCATTCCCAAAGCTGCTGCTTATATTTGGGAAGCAGACCACATACCCAGAGCAGCTACTCAGCTGCTTGTGGTAGATCCCACCATGGAGTTGATTGCCAGTCTCATCATGGGGAATAACTACCACCAGCTGTCCAGCCATTCAACCAAG